AGAGAGAGAGAGAGAGAGAGAGAGAGAGAGAGAGAGAGAGAGAGAGGAAGCTTTTCACGCCAAAATGTTCGTCAAATCGAATATATTTGAGCTATAATACAAGTATGTGTATTTTTTAATTTACGAACTAGTTCTAAAAATAATTAAAGACGATATGTTACACAAAATCGAGAAGCAAACTTTCATTTAGTCGAATTTTCGCGATAGAGAGCTCCACGTCGAGCTGGTCGAAGAAAATCCGTCACAGCTAAAATATGTTACATTTCGATAAGAGAACAAAATCGCGTATATTAAATAAAGACAGATGAGGACTCTACCCGTCTACCGGAAAACCGAAAGTTTCGGGACGCCTCTGACGTCGACGGGGAGACGTTTCAAGGGGGGAACGAGAGCGCCGTTCGCGTCGGGACAAGCGAAAAAGGAAAAGCGGAATTCTAGGCTGCCGAGAAGATATTTGTGTCATGAAATACCCGAGAGACACGCGTATACACGTAGACCGCGTCGCTGTTTTCGTCTGGGCTGTACGTGTAGAAACACGGGAGGAAAAGCGGCGAATTCCGCCCGATATTTCACGCCTCCGCTCTCTCCGTTTTGTTTTATTTCCGCGCGGAATTATTCTCAGGCGTCGCGCGGAAATCCGCCGACATCCCCGAGTGTCCCACGAGAGCGACACTGTCGATAGCGAGGGCATTTCGCGCGGGTGTCACGGAAAATCGCTTTCCGACTACGTACGCGGTTTTCTGCAGGGGAGAAGCAAGGCAGGAGCGAGAGTTTCCCTGTAAATTCAATATAGCGACAATCGCGTTAATTATCGAGAGACCGTAAATCGCACGTCTCCGAAATTATAAGCTACACGTCCATCCGACACCTGTTGCTCGCAACAGTCGTCTGGGAACTAATTGCCCGTAATAACGTGTAATTAGCAGCGACGTACGCGCGCGCGAACGCAATGAACCGTGCGTGGTGATTAGAGCGGCGGTGCTTGCGAATCTATCCCAAAGACCAAACATGTTCTCGAATATTTTTATAGACACGTTGAATTAGGATTTTATTAAATAAAATTATCATGTTTTACCCTTCGACCCCTTAGGTTTTTTTAGCACCTTTACGCCGCATAGGTGGGTCGTTTTCATCCTGACGTTTTTTTTTTAATGTTAAAGTGTTACAAAAAATCTGAAAAAATTCATGGGGGTAATTCAAACCTTCAATTTGAAGTATCAATCATAAAATTATAAACAATTTAATTTTTTCACATAATTTGTATTAAAAGAATGGAGCCCGTTTTCAAAAGTTACAACTACATTTGATTTTCGCCCGGACGAAAACAATCCACCTAGTGGGATGAAGGGTTTATTTTATTATTACAAGTACATTCCTAAAGATTGTTAAAGCGACAGAGGCAATCCAACGCAACGAGATCCGATTCGCGCCGGGGAGTTTAACGCACGTCGGGGGCGTCAAGTCAGTCGGCCACCAGACGAAAATAAGGAACCAAGAATAATAATTGACGGGGGACGCGCGCCATTAACGTTAAGCAGAACCGTACGATAAGTCGCTCTGCCGCGCGAGCGCCGGCAAAAATAAACGCCACAACTACACTGAAAATAATATCACACTTTTTCCCTCCCGCGAGAAAATCCGCAAGACATCACCGTCGTTGTCGCCGTCGCCGTCGTCGTCGTCGTCTGCATCAGCCGAACCGGTGGAATTTAAATTAATTAAATGCCGTTAAGTCCAACGCAATTTACTTAAATAACTTAATTAAATCGAAGAAAAGTTTTAAGAGAATATATTGGAAAAATAAACTAATATATTAAAAGTCTACTTTTGATATATCAGTCAAAAAGTTTCAAATTATCTCAAGGCAAGAGATACGCGAACTAGATCGCTCTCGTAATTCACCCCCTTCCTCGAAGTCGATATCAATTCTTTCTCGGAGCGGCTTTCCTTCTCGAAGTAAATATCTTCGGTCTTTAAATCCGAATTCCGTGCAGTTATATCCCGACAGAAACTTTCATCAGACGTGGTATTTCCGCGCGCGCGTCCTAATGAACCATTAAGCGAAATTGCCGGATAAGTTTAGCGATCAATTTATCAGTGATTATCGCAATTTACCGTCGTCGCTCATTCCACGAAGAAACCGGTAAACATTTTTTCCTCTTCGCCAGACGAAGGTATCCACGGGATCTCATCGTGCTTCATAATGACGCGATTACATCGAAATGCGATAACATGCGTTGGATTAATTCGATTTTCGAGCCGCCGCGCCGCGCCGCGCCGGTATATGAATCTTAGGATTTCCAAGCGCGAATGTGCGAGCGAATGTGTTAAGAGAACGCCATTAAGATGACGATGATTAGGATATCGATAATTTATATCCTTCTCATGATTTATATATTATTAACACGAGGAAGATTATTGAGATATTATTGAGGTGTCGGTAACACATTGATAAAATTGAAATAGCGGTATCAAATGCAGAAGCTCCAAATCTATCAGCAGGTTCCCGCTTGGCGAAATTTATGCCAACGGTCGAGGTAGCCCTACAATATAAATTTAAATGAATTTTATGTATATACAACTGATATTTAATCTCGCAGCTCCACTCGCTCCGAGTTCAACGGCGCCCCAGGACGTCTCAATCGCAGGAAACGAGCACCGGGCCCGACACGGTTGACCAATCGTCGCTAGTATGTACTCCGACTTTAAATAAACCGACGCAGCGAGAGGCGCGAGGCGTAACGCTCCACCGCGAACATGTTATGACAGGCACGCGATACATTTGTTTTATGGCGGGGCGTTAAATTTGATGCAGTGGCAGAGACCGACCGCGATCTGTTGTACATACAACTGATACTCGGCCCCCTCTCGTCTCCTCCCTGCATGCTACATGTCAAACGGAATGAATGGATGTTCACCCTACTGCGTTCTTAAACGAAACTCTCACGAAGAGTTTTGTTGCACGCGGTAAAAAAATCATATTTATCTTTTATACTTGTCTGAGAAAAGTAACTGATAATTATAATTACGTAACTGATAATAAGTAAAACAGGACCGATATGA